AAAGGAAACAAGTTCGACAACTGGCGACGACGGACGAGATTAGGCTTGCTGCTGTTGTTGCTGCTGCTGCTGCTGTTCCGACGACTTTTCAGCAGATTCGGCAGTGGTTGTCTCGGCGGCAGTGGAGGATTCCGCGGGTTTAGCTTCCTCTGGGAGATTGCCGCTGACGGTGTGACTGTGCGTAGTGGCAGAGCCACCAGAGAGATTGGGAGGCAACAGGTGAGCTTGACTGAGGGCTGCGCGCAACGCGGCATTCTCGACGCGGAGCTGATCAACGAGGGCGCGGCATTCTTCCCAACGGCGGTTTGCCTCGTCAGCAGAGGCCAGGGCAGCGTCAAGGAGCTGCGAACGGGACTCGAGTGCCTTGACGTGTCTGTAGAGTCGGTAAATGAGCGTGGGGTGCATATATGCGGTACGAGATGTGCACATACTGATCTCTGCGCTCGCGGAACGCACGCTGGGCCTTTCTGTTTTGCTCGGCGCGTTTGCTGTTGCTGAGCGTTCTGTTTGCGGCGTTTGATGCAGGTGGGGGAGACTGGTCCGGGGCCTGCTGCTGCTGGGGCTGCTGGATAGGCACGCCTGGATGGGGGTGGTTGGGAGGCATTCCGCCTGGGGTGTAGTCGGCAGGAGCGTAGGGGTAGCCAGGAGGCATTGGACCTGGAATTGGGTGCATCATGGTATGTGCCGGTGGCAGAACGTGCTGGATGGGCTGTGCTGGAGGTTGGGGTTGGGTAGGTGGCTGCTGCTGTTGCTGAGGAGGCGGGGCGGGCTGGGCTGGTTGCTGGTGCTGCTGGTGGTCTGCAGCGTTGTTGGGCGGGGTCTTGCGCTTCTTTGCGGGGCGAGCTGGCTGAGTTATGGGGGGCGGGTCGTCGCGCAGACGCATCGTCTGGATATTCTGAGAGGCATCAGGGGACGCCTGCCCAACCGACGTGAACGATAGCATAGTGGATTAGTCAGAGTCTGAGTATGTAAGACTCGCAAACGCCGTGCTCATCCAATTTGTCACTGTCACTCCACGTGATGCATCAATCTCCTTGTCACGTCTAAAGCCCCTCTCATGTCGACCACCACCACCGCTCCTTTCGCGATTCCCCTCGCCAAGCTACAAGTACAGCATCTCAACAAGCGGCTTGTGGCAGGAATCGCAATAGTTGCTAATCGGCAGCAGCAACCAGAATTAAGGAAGCTCCTTCTCCTCCGACGTGCGCCTACGGAGGATGTGTACCCCGAGATGTACGAGCTTCCCGGTGGAGGGGCGGAAGCAGAGGATGAGACGATCCTGGCCACGGCAGCCAGAGAGACACGTGAGGAGACAGGTTTAGGCATCAGCAACATTCTCGGCGCTTTCGGTGGCTTCGAGTATGCAACCCGCAAGAGCCAGGCAATCCAGTTCAACTTTCTGGCCGAAGTCGAACACGGATTGGAGGCTTCTGTGGTGCTGAATCCTTCCGAACATGATACCTACGCTTGGGTGGGCGTTGCAGATAACATGATCATGAGCAAATACCCGATGCCGGAGAGCATGTCCAAGGTTGTCGCTGATGCCCTCAATATCCTGCGTAGCCCAGGGATTGGAGACGACTGATTTACTGTGTATTTACGTACAGCAGGAGGAATGTGACATTGGTGTGATGGAATGTGTGTGACGGATGCGGACCTGAGCCTCGTTGTTCATTCTGTTCCCGACGACGACATGGCCTCGCCGCCGTCGCCCCAGCGGCCGTCCCTCCGCGACAGGCTCTTCTCCACGTCCTCGAAAAAGGCGCCGCAGAAGGAGCCACAGCCAGCGGAGGCCGCCCCGTCGACAGAGGATACCCAAGCCGACGACCCGGACAGAGAACAGGGTTCTCTCAACTCGACGTTGACCAACAACAAGAACAATAATCGCCGCATTCCTTTCTACCGCCGCAAGCCTGCCACTGCTTTGTCTTCTTCCACCTCCCATTCACTCGTAAAGTCGCCATCTGGACCTTCCAGATCGGCAAAACCCTCCTTTTTCAGCAGAGTCGTCACCAAAGTCGTCCCCTGCGTCTCTGCGCCAGAAACGCCCGTCGCTCCCTCTGATAATAACCCTTCTTCTTTTGCTCTCAAAGACATCTCAAACCCTGATATTTCTAACCCACAAAACGGTACCGAACTGGATATCTCTCCTCCCTTGGCTGCTGGTTTCACGCTTCCCCCTCCCTCATCCAATCCGCCATCCCCGACAGACTCGGATGTCATCATCCCCCCGCCCGTTAGTGCGACCCTCCTGCCGGAGGACGAGACGGATGGCATGACCTCTGGCGCTGTTCAGCCGCCAGGATCCTCGGGCACCACCGAGATCGTGCATGCCCATACCCATGACTCGTCGGAAGACTCTGACCGCACCAGTTATAGCGACGACGAGGCCGACGCGCATCACATCCACGAGGAACAGGACGAGGAGGAGCGTCTGATCAAGGCTGGGGGCGCCGGTATTCCTATTGGCCCTGTGCGTGCGTTCCTATTCGTGTGCCACCCTGCGTTCTGACAGGATGTTGGCAGGACGGCGTTCCCAAACCCCTTTTGCCACCCATTGCACCTGAACACGTCGGTAGGAAGTGTTTGGTGCTTGACCTGGATGAGACTCTCGTCCATAGCAGCTTCAAGGTGCGTCGCGTTGTCTGTACTGTTGCCGACCTGACCCCTGGAGCAGGCCATCCAGCAAGCAGACTTTGTGGTGCCTGTGGAAATTGAATACCATTGGCACCATTTCCATATACTGAAACGGCCAGGGGTCGATAATTTTCTGAAGCATATGGGGGAGCTGTACGAGGTTGTAGTTTTCACAGCAAGTCTAAGTAAAGTGGGTGTAGCTTTTCTTGGATATGAACTGCGTCTGATTGACTGGATCAGTATGCGGATCCTGTACTTGATAAACTTGACATCCATCGAGTGGTAGCACATCGGCTATTCCGAGAGAGCTGCTTCAATCACAAAGGAAACTACGTCAAGGTGGGTGGGAAGTTGCTGGTGGGGGATGTTGGCTGATGGGATTTTGGGCAGGATCTATCTCAACTAGGGCGACCTATTGCGGACACGATCATCCTGGACAACTCTCCCGCGTCGTACATCTTCCATCCGAACAACGCGGTGCCGGTCTCGTCGTGGTTTAACGACCCTCACGATGCTGAGCTGACAGACCTAATACCGTTCCTGGGGGACTTGACGCAGGTACCCGACGTGCGCGGGGTACTGGATGGAGCGCGTTGAAGATATTGGAGAGGCAAACATATCTAGGCTATTTATATACCCTGCAAGTGTATACCTTCCAGGAGAGATACCCAGGCGATTATTATTTATTGGTGTCGGGGATGTTGTAGTAGACACTGTGTATTAGCTGTCGCGTGGTATTAGGAAACTGGGTCGCTTTCGAGATGGGAGGACGCACTGTGAAAGATATTTTCTGCCTTTTGCCATACGGCGACTGAGGATTCTACGACCGCCGACAGTGCGTTTCCGAGCTAGGAAGCCGTGCTTGCGCTTGCGTTTTCGCTGAGAGGGCTGGTATTCTGTTCCACGGGCGGCGAAGCGGACTGCGAGCTGGTAGAGTGGGCTTGGTGTTGGCGCGACGACGCGTGGTATGCGGAAGAGAGCGGGGAGTTGGGGCGCTGCTTGGCGGGGTGTGAGCCTTGCGAGGATGCCCGCTGCGTGTCTGACTGGCAGGGGTGGAGGACGGAGGACGGCGCGGAGGAGTGCTGGGGCGAGACGGGGCATGGTGGTTGCTGGAGAGAAGGGTGTGACTGTTGTCACAGGTGCAGTCATTCTGGTCATGTACAGATTACGGCGGATAGCAGGTCGCCCACTCCCAACCATGCCCGTCCAGCCGTACTCTGGCCCATGGCCTGCCGTGCGCGTCCGCGACCAGTTCTTCCAGTTCTTCCGCGACAAGAACCACTCCCTCGTCCCCTCGTCCCCAACAATCCCCTTCGATGATCCTACCCTCCTCTTCGCAAATGCGGGCATGAACCAGGTATCTCCAATCTATCCACATCGCAAGCCAAATCGCCAACATCTCCTCTAGTTCAAATCTATCTTCCTCGGCACAGTCGACCCACACTCCGAAATGTCCAAGCTCAAACGCGCTTTCAACTCCCAAAAGTGCATCAGGGCCGGAGGAAAGCACAACGGTCCGTTGCCATCCTTATCTTTCGCATCCACATCTCATATCCTGAAGATCTCGAGGATGTCGGGCGCGATTCGTACCATCATACATTCTTTGAGATGCTAGGCAACTGGTCGTTTGGAGATTACTTCAAGGTGCCCTCTCCGTCTCGTATTTTTCTCTCTAGTGACTCATCTCCCGATTTAGAAAGAAGCAATAGCATATTCATGGGAGCTCCTCACGGAGGTCTACAAACTCTCGCCCGACCGTCTATACGTCACGTACTTTGAAGGCGACCCCAAGAATGGCCTCGAGCCCGATCTCGAGGCAAAGCAGTATTGGTTGGACACTGGCGTTCCGGAAGACCACATCATCCCGGGCAATGCAAAGGACAATTTCTGGGGTGCGTTCTCTCCGTTGACTTTCTTGCCATTATCTTACCTTTTGCAGAAATGGGTGCTACCGGTCCTTGTGGTCCTTGCAGGTACGTATGCTCTCTTTATTTCGTCCCTTACTTCTCACAGCTTTCTCCTCAGCGAAATCCATTACGACCGCATCGGTGGTAGAAACGCTGCGCATCTCGTAAACCAAGACGACCCCGACGTTCTTGAGATCTGGAACAACGTTTTCATCCAATTCAACCGTGAGGACGATAGCGCTCTTCGCCCTCTGCCCTCAAAGCACGTCGATACTGGCATGGGCTTCGAACGTCTCGTCTCCGTCATCCAAGACAGACGTTCCAACTACGACACCGATGTTTTCTTGCCCATATTCGCCAAGGTTCAAGAACTTACCGGCGTCCGTCCTTACGAGGGTCGATTTGGAGCCGACGATTTAGATGGCATTGACACTGCTTATCGTGTTGTCGCTGACCATGTCCGCACTCTCACGTTTGCTCTCAGTGACGGTGGTGTCCCAAACAATGTCGGTCGCGGATATGTTCTCAGACGCATACTAAGGCGCGGTGCCCGTTATGCTCGCAAGAAGCTGGGTGTCAACATTGGCTCATTCTTCTCGTCCTTGATGCCTGTCGTCATTGAAACAATGGTAAACCTTTCTCGGTGATACCAGCCAAAGATCTTCTTAACATTGTGCATCAGGGGGCAACTTTCCCAGAAATCACGAAACGGGTAGATGAAATCAAGGAAATCCTTGACGAGGAAGAAGAGTCTTTCTCCCGGACGCTCGATCGTGGTGAGAAACTCTTCGACCAGTTTGCCACTCGCGCCAAGGAGCAAGGTGCTACGCAACTCAGCGGCAAGGATGTCTGGCGCCTCTACGACACCTTTGGGTTCCCCGTCGACCTTACGCGTCTCATGGCCGAGGAACTCAAACTTACCATCAACGACGAGGAATTCGAGAAGGCACAAGCCGAGTCCAAGGAGGCTAGCAAGGCCAACACGAAGAAGGACGGCGCTGTTGTCGTCAAGCTTGATGTGCATGAGCTTGCTGCTCTTGAGAAGAACCCTGATGTTCCAAAGACTGACGACTCTGCCAAATTCAGTGAGTACTCTGTGGTCTCCTGCCAAGCCTACCAAGTCAGCCGTTTGCAATAGACCTTGGAAATATCACAGCAAACGTCAAGGCAATCTTCTATGAAAAAGCATTCCACCAGTCGACTAGCGGAATCCCCGTTGATGCAACATTTGGAGTTATCCTCGATCACACGAGTTTCTATGCCGAATCTGGAGGACAAGAGTATGATACAGGGAACATCGTCATTGACGGTGTTGCTGATTTCGAGGTCGAGAATGTCCAAGTATACAATGGCTACGTGCTGCACACTGGTCGTCTCAAGTATGGTCAACTCAATCTCGACGACGAGGTTGTCTCGTCGTATGATGAGGTGCGTTTCTCACTGGCTGCAGATACTCTCTGTCCCAATCTTCTTTTTTTTTTTATCAGCTTCGTCGATGGCCTCTACGAAACAACCACACCGCAACACACATCCTCAACTTCTCGCTAAGAGAAATCCTCGGTGATCATATCGACCAGAAGGGCTCACTGGTTGCACCAACCAAGCTGCGCTTCGATTTCTCTCACAAGTCTCAGATTGCTCTGCCAGAGTTGCAGAAAATTGAGTTGATGAGCATTTACTGGATCAAACGGAATGTAAAGGTATTCAGCAAGGATCTTTCTCTGGAGACCGCGTCTCGCATTCCAGGTCTACGTGCCGTCTTTGGCGAATCGTATCCCGATCCTGTCCGTGTCGTGACGCTTGAATATAGCGTCGATGAAATCGCTCAGGACATCGAAAACCCTAAATGGCGGCAAACAAGTGTAGAGTTCTGTGGTGGAACGTGAGTTTTGCCGCGTTCTGCCTAGTTATCGTTCATTACATATGATCTCTTACAGTCACGTCGCAAAAACTGGTGATATCAAGGACTTTGTGATCACAGAAGAGTCTGGTATTGCCAAGGGAATCCGCCGTATCGTTGCTGTAACCGGCCACGAAGCGCACGAAGCGACTCGCGTTGCGCAGTTATTGCAGGAGAAACTTGAAAGTCTCGAAGCTTCCAGTGGCAAGGTGAAAGATGCTGGTTTGAAGGCCTTCAGCGTTGTATGTGGCTTTGACTGCCGTGTTGTTACATTCTCTTTGGCTGATTTTTTGGTGAAGGAGCTCGGCCAGGCAGACATCTCGCTTTTGAAGAAAGCAGAGTTGAAGGACAAGCTCGCTGTGATTCGCAAAGCACATGACAAGCAGATCAAGGACCGAGAGACGCAGGCCAACAAAGCGGTAGGAGTAAATTGGACTTTCAATTTACATTTTAACTTATGGGAGGTCCTCAGGCTGTCGAGCAACTGCAGCAATACTTCAAGGATAACGACAAGGCCGACGCTTTCGTCGCTCTCCTCGATGTCGATGGAAATGCAAAGGTAACGCATATTGTTTGTTACCGTCTATTTGTCGCCTGACTTTGGTGTATAGATTCTGCAATCCCTCATCTCGCAAGCAAAACAACTTGGAAAAGGCATTTACGTTTTCAGCGCCGACCCGGAAACAAAGAAGGTTGCACATGCAAACTACGTACCGCCTTCTCTGAAGGAGAAAGGCATTGATGCTCGGACATGGGCTGCGAAAGTAACAGACATCTTGGGTGGAAAGGTAACATCTTTCAAGACACCGAGCATTGGTAGCTGACCGCGTGTCCTAGGCTGGCGGCAAGGAAGAAAGTGCTCAGGGCGTCGGCACCAATGACGACAAGGTCAACGAAGCGGTTGCCGCTGCAACTGGCTATCTTTTAACTACAACATCTTAGAGGCTTTCGGGGTTTCATGCTTCACTGGGTTGAAATTGCTATTGTACACCATCTCGCACGCTTTTTGACATTGTCCTGTTAGACACAAGCTATATTTATATTCCTGTAACCTAAGTGATAAATCAAGAACGAGTGGTATATCGAAACCGAGATCAGCGCCTACAAAAACAAGAGATACAATCATGCTACATGAGAGATATTCATAAAAAATCGTCGTGCGTCATGCCATAGGTGGCTCAGAAAGTCTGTCGTTCTCTGCATTACCATAGTGTTGGTGCTCCCAAAGACGAGCCTTCGCGTGGACTGCAATGTCGGCAAATGGTTTCGGTTGAGACACTTGGACACAATCTCGGGTACCAAGCACGAGCAATTCGAAGAAGAACGAGGCTGCTGCCCGTCGCGAGGCCTAAATCAATATTGAGACTCAATTGGGAAAAAGGTGGAGTGTAAGACCCACCTTGTTTGTCATTTTCTTGAAGCTCATAGACTTCGGTTGGTCGTCTTCCTCAGATGACTGAAGCTCCTTCCGAACCAAACCAAGGGCTTTGACGGTGTTTTTGCTGTACCCATGAGTCTCGTTCTCGACGACGTCAGCTGGCTCTTGTTCAGAATCGACTGCTTGGCACTGTGTTGCCTGTGAAGGTTGTGTCATGTCGAAAACGGCAACTGGGCAGGATCCATCCAGCATGCCATGTTCTTCGAGATCGTCGAGGGCACCTGGGCCGACAGAGGAAACCCGGCTTCGGCTTCGGTCTGTGAGGACTGACTTTGCTCTTCCATCCTCCATATCAACGCCAACTTTTGGAACTTCCAGTTGGTAGTCGTCCATCATCGCCCCAGATTGGTCGGCGAATTCGAAGCCGTTGTCGAGGCCTGAAGCATTAGGATCGAGGTTAAAGCCACCATCGCTGGGTGCTAAGCTCTCTGCACGTCGGGCAATCTCGACTTCATCTTTACGAGCTCGCTTGCTTGGGCTGAGTTCTGGAGACGGGGCCTTCCTCTTGTGCGTCGCGGTGTTGCCCCCTGCACGAGTAAAGAGCTCTGCCAGCTCGGGGGTCAGCCCAGGAGGGCCGAACGAAAACATGTTTCCACTTGTTTTGGAAGGCAGAAAATAGGCAACAGGGTCTTCTCGAATTTCGAGCAGGCGCATGACGATGGACGACCTGGGAAGGAAACGCTGCTTAGTCGTGATGGTGGTAGTATCAGTGTTCAGAGGATTGGCATTCCCAACGCCACGTCCGCGGTTGGCAGCAGCGATTCCGTTTTGCAGCTCGGTGACAGAGTCAATAATTTGCTTCTTGTCCTTGATCTTTCGTTTTGCCTTTTCTGTCTCGGGTTGTGCTGCGTTCAATTCGGCATCCTCGATGGGAGGCGGGGTGGCAGGAAGCTCTGTAAGAGGTGATGCTACTCCTATTCAGACAGGGTTCACTGGACAGGGTGGGATAGGACTCACAAGCACGAGAGACCGATCGAGTCTGGCTCGGTGTACGCTCATGAGGGTCAACAGGAGGAAGGTCGTCAAAGCCAATACCCAAATCGCCAAGGTCAACTTCAGGCAAGGGATCGATGTCCATGGCGTCACCGAAGGGTTGTTCGGAGGGGTCCCTGCTCTTGCTGCGATGGGAAAAGGCATCAAAATCTCCGCCGAAGGGATCTCCACCCAGGAAGTCAGGACCAATAGAGTCACGAATTTGAGCATCACGACCGACACCGACACTGCCGTCCACACTCATCATGTCTGACTTGGCGTTCGGTTCTGAAGCTCTGGCACCTTCGTCGTCCCAGTTGATGCCCAAGTCTAGGTCATTGAAATCCTGGGAGCCAATGCCATCCGATGGTCCTATGTCAAAGGGGTCATTTTCGCCGAACTGGAAGTCGTCCGCGGTGCGAAGGGTGATGTCATCGACGTGAGCTTGGTGGTGGCCTTGACGTTGAAGAGGGCGATCTTCAAAGTCCATATCCCTGCATGACATAAGACGTTGTCGACTTGATATTTCAGGGTTTCACTTACCAATCAACGTCAGGTAAGAGCAAGTCGAGTCCAAAGCTGTTGGTCTGAAGTGTAATTGCGGTCTTGTTGACGGTAAGTTGTTCTTCGGTAAGGTCGACGATGCCTGGACGGAATGCCTAGATTGAATCGGTGAGGACATGCCGTTTAAGAAGGAGAGTGAGCTTGTGCACCATTTTGATCTTTAACAAGGCTTCGTTACAGTCATCAAGCAGGTACTTGGCCTTGCGGCTATAGATCCTGACTACGCCGAGAAGCAACTGACCGCTGAGGCGGAGGGCCATAAGCTCGATTTCCTGACCCATAATAGCGTCTGACTGCAAATTAGCACAATAGCGGGGGTGGCGGAGTAATTCGACGTACCGACGGACTGGCCGATGTCTGTCTGGAGTGTCTGACTCTTGGAGAGCTTGCGCTCCATGTGAGCAGCGAGCCATACCCTTCCGAGGGGCCCCCTACGCGAGAGGATCGTCTCTGAGTAGAACTAGGAGTCCGGTGAGCACGCGACAAAAGTTGCAGGATGATGGGACTGACCATGTTTGTGGGAGAGGAGCAAGAGACGCGTCTGGTGGCCAATGTTGAACACGTGTTACATAAGCAGCCCATTTTCCGCTCGCCAAGGTGGCCGGGACAGCCATGTTCTCCATCCGCACCCTCGCCGCTGCTGGCACCCGCCTCGCCCGCCATGCATCCACCAGCGCGTCCACCACAACCGCCCAGCATGCAATGCAGATCATCGCCGCCGCCAACCTCGGCCGCTTCCCCGACGCCCTCGACCATGCCACCCGCATGAAGGCCGCCAACGTCAACCCCGACCTCTCCTCCTACAACGCCCTTCTCAGCCTTGCAGCACGCGACGGCAGCTGGCTATTCGCCTGGGCAATATTTGACGACATGCTCAATGCCTCTGTCCGCCCCAATAGCCTCTCCTTTTTGCACCTCATCCAGGCAAGTTCCTCCCAATCCCGACCCTGCACTTCTCTCAATTTGTCTCCTTCTAGGCTCAACGTCGACGCCCGACTCAGGCTTTCTGGAATGCAATACAACGCATGCATGAGTTTGGTGTCACACCTACCCCTGCCATCTACAGTCATATCATCGACTTTCATGTCCAGGAGGGCAACCTTGAATCAGCTCTGCATCTCCTCCTCTCCATGAAAAAACACGACCTCATTCCCGAGCTTTCCTCTGTCCATGCCGTAGTCTCACTCGCCGCAGAATGTGGATACTCTCGGCTAGCTATCGAGCTAGCCACCTATTTCGAGCATGTCTCTCTTCGCCGCCTCGACGACGCGACATGGACACAGTGCCTCTCTTCTTCAGCAGAGCATCTCTACGTGCGTCCTTCCTCCGTCTTCTCTTATTCACTGCGTCTAATGTCACGATAGATGGATGGCGTCTTGACGTGCTGGCCAATCGTTACACAAGAATTAAATATCCTTCCACCAGAAGGTCTCTGTCTCTCTGTACTCAGCACAGCCGCTCGTTGTGGTCTTCCCGACCTTGCCACTGATGTTCTGCGTGCCCTCAAGGCTGGCGGAGTGCCATGGCATGAGCATCACTTTGCCTCCCTCATTGAAGCTTTCTGTCGAAACAATCAATTAAAAGAGGCCCTCGTCACCCTCCATATCATGCGATCCAACGACGTCGAACCAACCCATACCACCGCCTCCTTCATTTTTGAGACAGTCAAGTCCGACGTTGACTCACTTGATTCCGCCTGGGCCATTATCGACGACATCCACTCTTCAAACAGTGGGCTTGACATTGCAGCACTCAGAGTGATCATCCAGGCCTCCATCTTCCTTGGTGACCTGCAACGAGCCGTCGGTATCTACAAATCTTTCTCAGATTATGGCCTTGCCCCAGACCTCGAAACCTTCCACCTGCTGCTAGACGGCTGTATTGCAGCCCGTCACCGTCAGCTGGGCGATATCCTTTTAGCGGATGTTAAAGAGGCCAAGCTCGAACCAGATGTCAGGGTTTACGAGAAGATGATCCAACTGTGCCTTACACAAGACATCTACGAAGATGCGTTTTTCTACCTTGAAGAGATGAAGGCTGCCAGATTTGTCCCTCCTCGACGCGTCTATGAGGCCCTTATGAAGAAATGCTCTTCTGTCGAGGATCCTCGGGGAGAAATGGTGCTGCAGGAGATGAAGGAATGCGGTTATGAGGTCGACAGTCGTGAGCAGAGCGGAGAATCGCAGAGACAACATTGGCGGCGTAGGCGTACCGCGACCGTGTGAATTAATCGGAGTAATGCAATTTGTGATGATCGCGTTACAGTCGCGTCATACTTACTCTTGTCTGCAAAACGATGAGGCCCGTATACCTTGATCTGCCAGCGCTCTTCCTTTCCAATCCTATTCTCCCTCTCTCGTCATGGCCACCAATATCTACTTCCACCCAGGTGAGTACCTGTCAATATTTGCGTCGCATCGCTTAACCTAGTTTCCTCTTAGGATCTGTCACCAATGAGGAGCGCACGAAGCTCTTGAAGCAAAGGGGGGCAACGATTTGGCTGACCGGCCTCAGTGCTAGTGGAAAAGTGGGCGTTTGCGCACCCTCGTTGAATTTGATCTCAATATAATCTCAGTCCACGATTGCATGCGCACTCGAGCAGCACCTCCTGCACCTGCACAAGTTCACCTACCGTCTGGACGGCGACAACGTGAGATTTGGTCTGAACAAAGATCTCGGCTTCGACGAAAGGTCGCGGAACGAAAATATTCGGCGCATTGGGGAGGTATGTGAGACTTCAGCACCCAGGCAAACTCTGTTTACGAGGCCTTGAATCAGGTAGCCAAGCTATTCGCAGACGGAGGTTGCATCGTTGTCACCGCTTTCATTTCCCCATACCGCGCCGACAGGGATGTAGCTCGTCAGCTTCATGCACAAGCGTCCATCCCCTTTGTCGAGGTCTTTGTCGATGCCCCGCTGGAGGTAGTTGAGGAGAGGGACCCAAAGGGGTTGTACAAGAAGGCAAGGGCGGGTGAAATAAAAGGTTTGCGTTTGACTCAGGCGCTTTCTCGTTGGGCTTATCCGTCATCAGACTTCACTGGTATCTCTGCCCCGTATGAAGCGCCCCCGTCACCAGAAATCCACATCAAGACCAATGAGATTGAAGTCGCTGATGCCGTTCGTATAATTGCCGAATATCTTGTCAGTAAAGAATACATATTTGTTTAAATTCAATTGCATTGGGACGGAAGCATACGTTCCGCGTTGAGAGTTGGAAACTAGCTGTAGAAGGCATCCGTGGACTTGGAGTCAAGACGAGATAATATTTAACGCCAGATCAAGCCACCGGACACAAATAGAGACAAACAATAGAGTGGCGATCTCGCAAGGTCCTGGAGTATGTCATCGACATCGCCCTCAACATTCCGAACGACGTATAAAGGTGGGTTTCGTTCGTGGTATTCATGCTGTAATTACGCTGGAAGTGGTTCCCGACGGTTTCGGGATGTATTTGGCGCCGTTTTGGGGTGGATGGACAAACATCGAGTGGATGATGATGGATGATGAACTTATGCTCTTCATCCCAGGTACCCTTGTCGCCCGGCATGTCTCTCGTCGTTCCCGAGGCCCACCAACAATTTCAAGTGTGTATCGCTAGTGTGTATCTAATCCATGCACGACTGACCCTTTCTCAGCACATTCTCCGTCTCCTCAACACTAATGTCGACGGCAAGCGCAAAATCATGTACGCCCTGACCGAGATCAAGGGTGTTGGTCGTCGTTACTCCAACCTGGTCTGCAAGAAGGCCGATGTAGATCTCAACAAGCGGTGCGTGCAGGTTGCCTGCGGTGTCAGGATGTAAGGATTTACAATGGGACCAGAGCTGGAGACCTCAACTCGGACGAGCTCGAACGACTTGTTACAATCATTCAAAACCCCACCCAATTCAAGATCCCGACATGGTTCTTGAACAGGCAGAAGGACATCGTCGATGGCAAGAACTCGCAAATTCTTTCGAACGCGGTTGACTCGAAGCTGCGTGATGATCTCGAGAGGCTGAAAAAGATCCGGGCACATCGTGGTTTGCGGCACTTCTGGGGCCTGCGGGTGCGAGGACAGCATACCAAGACGACAGGTGAGTGTCTCTTCTCGCGTGTTCACGATCTTTGCTTGACACTCCATAGGTCGTCGTGGTAAGACCGTCGGTGTGTCGAAGAAGCGCGGCTAGACGACTCGACGGTAGTGCTATGCGTTATGTTTACTCGTCGTACATTATCATGCATATGCCAATATGATCTCTGCTGTATACTGCGAATCAGTGCGATATTTTGTTGTGAGAGTCACGTGAGGGTACGGCATTTGCGATTGCCAAAAGAGAGCTGTGTTGGTTTGCTGCTCGCTCGTAACTTATGATCTTGACGACCTCTTTGCTGCTAATTCTAATGACCACCCCTGCCCGTCCCCGCCAGTCTGCCATTCCAGGCCCAGGTCGCCTCACCGGAATCCCCACCCCGGGCAGATCCCGTTCTAGTTCCAGTGTCTATCAGACCACCCCAATAACCGCCCCAAACGACATCGAACGCGCCTTTCACGATGCCGTAAAGGCAAACGACCCCTCGCACCACCGCACAGGCTTTCCACCGACCCTGCCCTCTTCCTCCTCGTTATCGCCCCAGTCTATCTCCCACTCGCTTTCCTCAGGGCGTCGTTCGGTCGCGGGTCGCCCCTCGTCTTCTGCATCCACCTCGTCTGTCAAGGTAACGGAACGCGCAAAGACCCCCACATCAGCTCGAACATCGAGCAGACCTCCCAGCCGACAATCAGACGCGGCAACACGCCTTCCCAGATCCTTCGAAGTCGGTGATAATGTACGAATAGAGTCCCTTGGATTCGAAGGGACGTTGCGATACCTAGGCGAAATTGACGGTAAGCCTGGGCTTTGGGCTGGAGTTGAACTTAGTGGAGGCTTTGCTGGGAAGGGAAAGAACAACGGTTCGGTAGCAGGGTCAGTCCTCTTCTCTTTGTCACTTTGCTGGGATACCATGACGGCTGAACCCTGCCCTCACTCGCCCGTGGGCTGACCCCCTTTCTGATCTTGTAGACAGCAGTACTTTGTCTGCCCTGACAAATGCGGTGTATTCGTTGCCACTACCAAACTCTCAGCACCAACAGTGGGCCCCGGCGCTGTCCAGCGTCCCCCATCTGTCGCATCTTCCAGAGGTGGAAGGACCACTCCAGCCAACTCCGGCAGAATCACTCCTTCCTTCCTCTCCAGAACCCCATCGGCGTCTCTCTCGAACGGTAGGGTTACCCCGGTGACATCAGGTCGAGTCACTCCCTCTTCGTCCATCGGGAGGATGACACCAGGCAACCTTCCAACAGCGAGACGAACTTTCAAGACGCCTACCTCCAAGCCCAATGGTGCTACTCTTTCAGACAAGATCACTGCAGGCTCTCGTGCTTCCAAATACATGACCATGACAGCACAGCAACTCAATTCACGAGATCTTAATTCTAGAGTTGAAAGCCCCACACGCAAAAGTCACGAAAATGGTGGCTTCATGCTCTCCAGTCCAACGATATCTCGCTCCCTCTCGTCACCCTCTCGTTCTACTGGATCGCCCTTCTCTACACCAAGGCCAATAAATGGGCGACCTTCTGTTATTGGAGGAATCACTGCCTCTCCGTCTTTGCCCTCCACTCGCAGTCGACCATCTATGAATACTCCGCGTCCACGGGTTCCAAGTGCCGTAGCCATGCCACCTCCACCTTCTCCTAAAACGTCAGCGATACAGCCGGATAAGTCCCTTCCCGATGCAGCGGCAACCACATCTCGGCCAAGTTCTTCGGCGTCATTCAGATCTGTCGGAACGGACGAGCTCAATCTTATCGAGCAGTTGCAATCTCGTCTCGAAGCAGCTGAATATGAGAACGAGCGTCTGCGTTCTGCAACGTCTGAACCTGATATGACTTCCACCTACACCGCAGAGCTGGAGCAGCTCCGACTGGAATTCCAAGAATCCGTTGATCAGAAGAGCTCCCTGCAGGAACGTTTCTCCTTGCTCCAACTAGAACTTAGCTCCAACAACACCAGACTCGAGAGCCTGCAGGCGGAAAACTCCCGATTGACCGTGCAAGTTACAGACGCCCAATCAGAGATACAGCGCTTTGAGGAGGATAGGCTGCAAGAGCAGCAAAAGCACTTGCTTGACTTGGAATCGTTGCAAGACAAACTCGAGCAAATTGACAGCCTTGTCCTCCAGAAAGATGCGACAATCGAGTCTCAAGCAAAGGACGTCGAGCGGTTGACATCAGATATTAGCCACCTCAGGGCAGATCTAGAAGAAGAGCGGAAAGAGCTCGGCGCACAGATTGACGAACTGCGCATTGCTGGCCAGGTAGGATTGAAACTTCTTCCAATGCTTCCCTGATCTGATACAGCGCGTCTAGGAAACAATTGCATTGTATGAAGAGCGCCTATCTGATTCAAACACCCGCCGCTACGAATTTGAGCAACGTGTAACTGCGCTTGAAGCAAGCCTCGAGGCCGCTACCAAAGGTGACCATTCTCAAGAACAAGCTTCTCGAGCCACGTCAGCAGCCACCCAAATCGACAACGAATCGCTCCGTGATCAAGTCCAGCACCTGCAACGAAGATCAAACAAGTTGGAAGAGCAGTTGGAAGACGCTCGCGCGGCTTTGGAAAGGGATGTTGCTGCCTATCAGGATAAAATCGCTCGTATCCGATTGGAGGACGACCAAAGAAAACGAGATCTCGCGCTCAAAACGAGAGAAGTCGAACAATTACTCAAATCCGAAGCAAACGCACGTGGACGTATCGAAGAGATTGAAGAGGCTCTACGAGAGAGCACAGTTGCTCTGGAGAACGCTCGTGGTGAAGTCGAGACGTTAAGAGCAGAATTGGATGTAAGCCGCCGGCGTCTCGGCCATCGTACTTTGTTCCTGTATTTTACTGAGGCGCTCTTCAGAATCTGGACGTCTTGATTGACGATGCAAGCGAAGGAGACATTGCATCAAGACTGGCCAATTTCATGAAGAAAGCCTCAGTAGACAAGGCCCGACTCCAGCAAGAGATTGTACGCCTCGAGGACTTGGTCCAAAATTTGCGTGCCGAGAACAAGCGCGTTCAAGACCAGCCAACCGCCAACCTTTCCAATGTCCACGCTTCATTGCAAGAAACTATTGACAGCTTGAAGGCCCAAAATGCACAAGTACGCATTCACCCTCCCTGTCGCTCGGTCTCCCTCTCATCAGGTTTAGCTTCATGGTCAAATCGCGGGCTTGAATAGCAAAGTGTCAGAATTGACACAGAGTCTCAATGATCAGAACAACGAAATGGATGGGCTACGTAAGAAGCTCAACCGCGAGGCCCTTGTCAACGGCACTTCAGAGCCCAAGGCTGTCTCACCGAAGTCGGAGTCTTCTACGGTTCGAGAGGAAGTGGCTGGTCTCAAGTACGTCGCCGTTCTGCAGAGCAGCTTGACTCAAGTGCGACTTCACTGCAATATAGACATATTGTGCAAGAACTGCAGAAAGAAAACTTAGCGGCTGCTCAACAAATCAAGCTCCTGGAGTCGGAGAATCTGCTGTTGACTGCTGAGACTGAGCAACTTCGTCAGGTATGTTTTACGGTTCGGTCTCGAACTGGATCGACCCAATATCTGTAGGAGGTTCGCATACTGGAAGATAATCTTGACGATAGCATCCATCTTGGAGCTTCTACAATGGACAGCCCACCGAGCAATTCAAACGAAGTAGATGGGCAGCATCGGAAGATGAAAGAGCAAACCAGCCGGTTAGAGGTATCGCCGTCCGTTATCATTCATCAGATATGTACTAATGGCAACGGGCACGCTAGAGCGAATTGGAACAAATGCGCAAACGACTCAACGAGGCCGAAATGAAGCATGCTCGTGCAACGCATGATGTAAGGCCATCCTTGGTGTGCGTTCAATGCAGCGCTAATATAACTACGGCATACAGCTGAACAAGGAGATCAGTGAATTGGAAGCGCTAGTGGAATCCAAGGTATTTCTTGTTATATTGTTCTGAGGAGAGCTTACTATCAATGGGGCGCAGATCTATCGAGAGGTGAGTTTCTGGTGCCTCGGAGAGATTGCCACCAAGCTGATCAAATATCTTTTGTAGGACGAGTTGGAACAAGAAGTCGAACGGCTCAAGGAAAAGTTATCGCGACACAAGAAGTCGTCAAAAGGGGCGAACGAAAGCCAGGATGGTCGACACCGGCTGAGCAACGCGTCGATCAGCACGACAAGCTCTGAGAAGCGTGTGGTTGAAAGCCGTGAGGAGGTGTGCGAGATCTGCGAGCGGCCTGGGCACGACATCTTCAATTGCAGTCTATTGAAGGATGACGTGGGGACGGGGCTGGTGTGCGAGGACTGCGAGAGCCCGGGTCATGTCGCCGCCAATTGCCCCCACTCGCAGGATGTTTTCTGATGCTAAGTACTTATCTCCATAAATATACCCGGTGATGTCAGGCAGTGACGTCAGAGTGCCCCTCTACTTAAGACCCGTCTGCAACAAGACCCACCACCGAACATTCAACCATGTCTTACGCCTCCGTCGCCGCCGCAAACGCCCCGCCCAAAAACCAGCAGCCCCACCCAGATCCCGCCCTCCTCAATACAGCCGTCCCAACCCATTCTCGCGTCGCCGACGATGCCGCCAAGCTCAATGTCGTTTCACCCGACTTCAAGCAAAATCCCCAGACCTCCACCTCCGAGGTAGACAGAATCGACGCTAGATCCCCCTCTCCGGAACGTAAGGCGCAAAGACGCGTCGAAAAGGCAGAAGCGAAAGGTGGGGACACCTGGGACACCGTCAAGCACTACCTCATCCGCCCGGGGGTTGCTGGCGGCCTCATGGGCATCGGTGTGTAAATCCGCGTTGGTTTTTCCCAGCTCTGATTCATGTAATGCAGTGAACATTGGAATCTTCGGTGCCATGGGTCGCGCCTTTTATGTGCAGCCTGGATTACGGCGCGACGCCGCAGCTATCTCCATTGCGATCGCTGTGTCTGTAGGGTTGCTTTCCATTGAAGGCTTCGCAGCAGAACAATATCGGCAGACTCCTAGAGGGCAAGAAGAGGAGCGCCGAGCTAAACAAGAAGGTGCACTCATTTTCAAGCATGCCCGCGAGCAGATCTTGAGACCAGGCGTGCTCGGAGGCATTGTTGGACTCGGTGCGTTACATGTGTAATTCCACATTGTCAGTCACTAATGGCATGTTTGCAGTCAACACTGCGATCCTTGGTGTAGTCGGTTACGCGTCGTATGTAAACTGGGGAAAGACCTGGGACCGCCGCACGGTGTCTGCGATATCCATTGGCCTCTTGACGCTTTGGGGAGGAGAAGGGTAATTAAACTGTTTTTACTTGGAGGACGTGCTGACGCGGTGCCCACCAGACTTGTCGCGGAGAGGCTGAGGTCCAGGAAGTAGATAGTACGAGAGTGTTGTGATTATGTAATATATGCATTGCGGGGATTGCCGCCCTGGCGAAATTTGAGTCAACTCTTGATTCTTTGTGCTCGTCTTTCGATCAGTTCACACCAAGATGTCCCGATTCTTCAGACAAGCAGGCGATTCAGACTCGGAGTCCTCAGAGTCCGAGGATGAGCTCATGTCCAGTGAAGAGGAGGAGGCGCCGGCCAAACCCACAACCACCGCAAAGCCCGCCATGTCTCGCTTCCTCCGCACAGCAGGCTCAGATTCAAGCAGCTCCGACTCAGAAACCACCGATGACATAGATGATGGCGACAAATCTGATGAATCCGATAGCGAGGACGACGAGGAAGAAAAGCCAGTCCGTATCCTCAGCGCCGTCGATAAGAGGTTGAAAGAGATGGAGGTCACTGGGGTTGCAATGGAGAACGCTTTGAAAATTAATGACTGGGTGGTGATCTCAAATGGTACGCCGACATCCATCTATCTAGCTGTGAGCTAACTCCTCACTGCTTGTAGAATTTGACAAACTGGTTCGAATGATTCAAAGACAGCTCAATCTATCCGAGCCAGTGCCCTCCCTGTACATACGCACTTTGGTCAATTTCGAGGCCTCCGTTAACTCCTCCATTCAAAAAGAAAAAGAGGCCAAGCGCAAAATGAATGCCTCCAATGGCAAGGCTTTAACAGCCATGAAACACAAAATCAAGAAGGCTATCAAGGAGAACGAGGCTGATGTCAAGAAATATCAAGACGTCAGTTGCTTAACGCTGCCTTTGATCAATGCTGACCATTTCATTAGGATCCTGAGGCATTCGAGCGAGAGTATCTTAACCTTGTTGCACGTGACACTCCCCCAGCTGCTGCGACCCCAGCGGTGCGACCTTCCGGTGGCGCCGCAGACCAGGCTGACGAATTTACGACTGTCGGAAAAGGCGGCAAGGTCATGCAGTTTACCTCGGAGGGTATATTCAAGCATCTTCAAGCAGTCCAAGAAGCTCGTGGCAAGAAGGTGCCGTTGCTTGTCTTCTACTCGTAATCGATCGTTCATTGGCATCCCTGTTCTTAGAACACAGACCGCGCGGAACAGATCCGCATTCTTGAAGCCCTTGTCGAAGTCGCTGTGACCTCATACCAGCGCATTCGCGTCCTCCTAGCGTTGATATCTTCCCGGTTTGACTATAACTCTTCAGTCTCAAATTACATGCCGATAGAGCTCTGGTTGTCCGCTCAGCGCGAAGTGGATTTGCTCGTCTCCATCGTCGCTGCGGATACCAATTACTCTATCCAAGAACTGACAGACGACTATGATGAACTCGTTGAGCGATCTCCGGCCACTGAAAAAGGCGTTGTTCGCATTCGCGGCTCTATCATTAGCTTTATCGACCGCCTGGATGATGAATTTACACGAAGTCTCCAAAATATAGATCCCCATGGCACCGAATACGTGGATAGGTTGAAAGATGAAAAGGTTCTCTACTGCACTATCTGTCGCGCCCAGGCGTTCTACGAGAAGACCTCCCAGAGTGACCCGCTTGCCCGGGTTATCATGAGACGCCTCGAACACATCTATTCCAAGGTAAGCGACCCCTAGTTGATGTTTTGAGACCCTCCAATACTTATCTATCTTAGCCAGACGCCGTTGTTCAAGCATTGGAAGCTGCTGCAGATATGTCAGAAGTGATGCCCTCCATGACTCTAGCTCAGCTGTCAACAACATCCGCGCTGGTCCATTCTCTTTGCGTCTATCTCTACAAGTCCGGCAACTCGCTCCTCAGAACGCGCGCAATGCTGAGCCATATCTACCACCATGCTTTGCACAATGACTTCTATACTGCTCGGGACATGCTCCTCATGTCACATCTCCAAGAATCGATCCACTCTGCCGATGTGGCGACTCAGATTTTGTACAATCGCACTGTTGTCCAACTTGGTCTCTGCGCCTTCCGGTCCGGTCTCATCAAGGAAGCCCAAGCAACATTGCAAGAAATTTTCACAACCCAGCGGGTGAAGGAGTTGCTTGCTCAAGGCGTTCACCAGCAGCGGTTCCAGGTCATGACTCCGGAGCAGGAGAAAGCGGAAAAGCAACGTCAACTGCCCTTCCATATGCATATCAATACGGAACTGCTGGAGGCTGCCTTCTTGGTATCAAGCATGCTAGTTGAGATTCCTTTACTTGCGAGCATCGAATCAGAAGAGCAGAAACGCAAAGTCATCTCCAAGCCGTTCCGACGCCTCCTTGACTTTGCTGATCGGCAAGTGTTCACGGGCCCTCCTGAGAGCACACGCGACCATATAATGCAGGCAAGCAAGGCACTACAAGACGGAGAATGGGAAAAATGTCGCGACTTGATTCAAAGCATAAAAATCTGGAGTTTGATGCCTGAGGCCTCGGCTGTCAAAGAGATGTTGGCGAAGTGAGTGCAAAAGTTTTGATCCAAAACCCGTCATCTGAACACTGATTGATCATTTATTAGGCGTATTCAAGAGCAAGGTCTACGCACTTACCTCTTCACTTATGCCCCACACTATAGCACACTTTCTTTGTCGTTGCTCTCCAGGACATTCTCCCTTCCCCTCCGAACAGTAACGTCAATAATCTCAAAGATGATCTGGAACGAAGAATTATCAGCTTCTTTGGATCAATCTGCTGGAGTCGTCGTTTTCCAGCGAATCGAACTTTCCCGTGCTCAACAACTTGCGCAGGTCATCTCCGAAAAAGTGGCGACCATGGTTGATCAGAACGAGAAAGCACTGGATATCAAAATAGGTGGAAACAGCGGATGGGGGGATAGAAATGACGGAGCCAAGAGCGAGAAGCGAGGAGAGCAGACGCAAGAGCGTCGGGGACGTGGCGAACGTTCGAGGGGCACGCGAGGTATGTTTCCTGCTTTCACTGAACGGAATTTTCCTGAATGCTTTCGAAGGCGGAGCAAGGGGCCGGGGGTCTCGATTCTCTCAAGGACTTGGAAACCAAATGCCAGGTCATACGGGCCAACGTTCGGGGCAATAATTGGCACATTTTTTCTCTTTCTTGCGCGCACCTTTTAATTTCATCTCTGTTGCTTTTATGGCCTACGTACTCAGTCCGATTCGCTGTCTGCAACGGTGGGTTCCGGTGTTGCCATCCAGTCCGACACCTCTAGCTTCTCCCCTTTGAGTGATTCTGAGACACCATTAATATGCATGTGATAGTAAGTCAGAAGAGGAATCAACTCACCACCCGCCCCAACTTCGTATCCTGCCTGGGTAACACAACGAATTAACTCCGCCTTGGGTCCTATTTGCGTGTTTTTACCGAGTATGCAGCCTTCAATTTTCGCCCTGAGTAGAGACAAAAGATGGATGAGCCAAATTTGGGCAATCGTCGCAACATGAATGATTACCCTTCTTCCACAACACAGTGATCAAGGAGGACGGAGCCTGTTATCCTTGCCATTTTCCCAATGACACAATGACGCCCGATAACAGACCGTTTTATTGTCGTGCGTTCGCTGACCTGTGTTGATTGACCGACGACAGAATCAGTTGATATCTGAGCTTTCTGGTCTATCAGGGAGCGATCTTTAGCATCGGTAGGGAGGCTGTAGGTGGTCCCAGTCAAGAACTGGACGTCGAGTAAGCAGGAGGCTCGATCAAGAAAGCTGGCACGCACCCGTCTATTGATCTCACTGAAGTTATGCAATGTATTGATTCGCATGGCGGGCTCCGGTCGATCGTGAATCAACACCCCGACCTTGAAAGTTGAATGGAGGGAAAATTCTCCATTAGAGTCGGCTGGAGAAGTAACTATCGACACTGTATCATTTTCTTCAAGACTTGCTGAGTTGTCTAGGAGGCTAGAATGCTGCAAGGACAGCGACTGCGGAGTGAGTTTAGCTATTGAGCTTGAGGCCGCTGCCGACGGAACGTCTGTTTAATCCAGGTGGCCGGCTTGAATGGGACCACTTACTTCGCCCATATTTTGTTTTCTTCGAGCGTTGATACTGTATTTTGCACAGCCAAGGAAAGAATTCCTCTCTCAAAGAGGAAAAATGCGGTTTCTCGTGCAGTAGGTCAAGTACAGACCTCCTGCACACATAAACATGCGAATCTTCATAAGCAGAGGACAGCTTCGTTCGTGGGTACCTGAATATCATATTGAGGAGGCGGTTAAAGCACAGACAGATCCCTGAAGAATCACCGTTTTAATAATTCCATTCTTAATTCGAGCTCTTCCGAGTTGGAGTCCATGTCATCGGGAGTGTCGATGTGCAGCAAGGAACCAGTAGACGGGTCCCAGACAATAGGAAATGCCATTGGCGGAGGTCCCCAGTCCTCAAGCACCGTGCCCTTTTCTGATATTTGAGACCTGTACCAGCAAGTTGTAGCGAGAGCAGCCTCCGAAAGAGCATCCACGCGAAATTTATTCAACAGCAGACTGAGCGGGAGAATCGCGGGCGGAATAAAATCGCATGGCACGATCACAAAGTCTTCAGTAATGCGATTGGAGAACTGGCGAAGGAGAGCACAAGTGCCGATGTTTGATCCCTGAGATTCGTCGTATGTTTGCAGATCTATTCGGAGGGAGGAGGAGGACACGTCCGAGTGTATATGATGGTATATCGAGAAACGATGGCGAGATGGGCAGATGAGCAACACATCTGGAAGGGGGTCAACAGCGGCGCAGAGCGATCGAATGGGTCGTGCGTACCTTTTATGCCGGATTGTTCGAGCCAGCCGAAAACGTATTCGAGCAGGGGCTTGTTGGCGATGGGGAGAAGAGACTTTGGACAGGGCTCGTCGCCGTAGTCGCTAGTGAGGGGAACGAGTCTGCGGTGGGATAAGGCTAGGGGGATGTGGGGGGTATGAAGGGGCGCACTCGTTGCCAAATCCCGCAAAGAGGACGGCGAGGAACTCTCTGGAGCCGCGATCTTGCTTGACATTGTCGAGGTCCATGATGGTCGAGGAAGACAAGATTGCGATCACCTGACCTCCGTTTCTTCCTTTCGAACCGCCATGGCAAATCCTCAGCCCTCCGTCCACGACCTTTTCCAACGTCTCGAGACCGTCGGCCGCGGCGCATACGGATCTGTCCACAAGGGGAGGCACATCCCCACCGGAAACATCGTTGCTCTCAAAATCATCAACCTCGACACTCCCGATGACGACGTCGCCGACATTCAGCACGAGGTCGCCCTCCTTTCCCAGCTCCGCGACGCACCGAACATCACAAAGTACTTTGGCTGCTTTATGGATGGCCCCCGTGTCTGGATAGTCATGGAGTTCGCCCAAGGAGGCAGTGTCCTGTCTCTCATGAAGGCCTCCAATGACGGTTGCATCGAGGAAAAATACGTCGCCGTTGTCATCCGTGAAGTCCTTGTCGCTCTCAGCTATCTGCACAAAATACCCATCATCCACCGCGACATGAAGGCCGCCAATGTCCTTGTCACCGCGTCAGGCAAGGTCATGCTTTGCGACTTTGGTGTATCCGCACTCCTCGCTACAACCTCAAGCAAACGAAACACGCTCACAGGAACACCCTATTGGATGGCGCCTGAAGTCGTGCAGACGGTTCCAGCGTACGATACGAAAGCCGACATCTGGAGCTTGGGCATTATGATATACGAAATGATCAAGGGAACCCCGCCGCATTCTAATCTGGACAAGTTCCAGGTCATGGACCTCATTCCCCGGATCAAGCCACCTCGACTAACCGAGCTCGAAGGGAGCAAGGACATGAGGGATTTTATGTCGTTTTGTCTCAAAGAATCTCCCGTCGAGGTGCGGATATCAATTCCAAGCAATCAAGCCCCTACACTCACTTGTTCCAGCGTCTCTCCGCTGATGAACTCGCAAAGACCAAGTGGATCAAGACCATTTCCAAGGTCGCTGTTTCGCTGTTAAAAGATCTTCTATTAAGGTTACAGCAAGCTGGTCCGCGCGCCAGTCTTAATGAGCCTCTTGATTGGGAAAACGAGATCAACGGGTAAGACGTACTGATATCCACATATTCCTTGTCTGATGTCCTCCCTCTTATTCTACAGACCCATCGAAGAACATAGTTGGGAGTTTGATACTGTTCGTGGATCCTCCTTGAACTTTGATTACGAGCATTCAGGGGACTTCGGGGAACTTCTGGTGGATCCATCCAGTCAACCAACTATACGTGCCCATCCACCTACAAATCTTCCATCATCTCTCCGTTCACTTTTTGAGGATGCCCATGATCAGCCAGAGACTCATGTGGCTTCTGATCCTTCAGAAAATCTAGCATCACATGTTCCCAGTACATCTGCTCAAAGAGTGAGCAATGATGTCTCAAGATACTTTGCATCATCTTCAGTCTCAAGTTGGTCAAAGCCATCCTCACCTATTAGTGATGATACTAATCTTTTTCTGGCCACAGCTTCAGTCAATCATCAGGCTCAAAGCCACTCTTCTGATTTGGCTAGTGCAACTGAAATTCAGACACAAAGTCATGACTGGATTTTGGCTGAGAATGAAGGTCTTCAATCTGAAAGCCCTATTGATCTTCCACAATCTTTCTCTTCTAGAAGACAGTTGGAGCCAAATGATGTTGATCTTGCCTCTCCTTCCTCATTCCAGTTTCCTCATCCATCAACTCGACTTCCTCAGATCACTCAATATCCATCTTCTCCAAGTCATTCTTCACATTATTCAACTTCACATTTTTCACATCACAGCACCCTATCTCTTGATGTGGCATCCACTGCTAAACATACTCATGCTTCTCTGTCTATTTCCCGGACAAGATCAGCAACTACTCCTCCATTGTCTTCAGTCAATTCTCTAACAACAGATAAGCCAATAACCAATGTGGAGAGAAGATTATATGATACATTTGCTATAGAGACTAATAGCCATGGAACACCTGGACTAAAGGATGTTCTTAAAGTATGTGCTTCAATATAATAATAGCAAAACAATCTACTAATAAATTATCAGATTCCTTCATTGACATCAAGCCATCATATAGAAATGGCTGATCTTCTTCCTCCTTCTCCATCAGTTGGTGCAAACACTCAGAGATTTCTTTCTGTTGGTACAGAAACAATTTCTGCAACATCTGATTCAATGCTTGAAACAGTATGTTTTTAATTTAATTAATCTCTGCTTTTTATATTAATTTTGTTTATATCAGGATCTGGATAATTTCTATGGTCTTGCAGAAACATCTCTTTTACCTCTTGATTATAGTGCATTAGCCAATGCAGATGATTGTATTTCAGAATTTGATAAAACAGTCAAATCTCTAGAACAATGGCTAGCTACTATTGAGCTTGGCTTAAATTCTGTACTTGATAATAGCATTGAAGAGGAAGTAGATTTATATCTTGAACATTCAGATCAAGATAGTAGCTTAGATTTATAAATTGTATATTTATTACAACTTTATTGCAAGACAGTGACATTAATAAATAAAAATACATCTAGAAATTGACATGAGTAATTCTGAAACATTTCAGGTCTTTCTCTTCTCTTACTCCAGCAAATCTGGATCTATAGCAATAAAGATCTGGGTATAGGCTTTATGAGAGTACACAGATTCAAAAATCTATACAGTAGTAAGAGGTAGTGATTGACTGTTACAATCTGTACTGAGTGAGCTGGAGACTAGATGTATTCAGATGTGCTTTAGAAGAGATTTCAGATGTGGACTTTGACTTCAATGTGTGTGTGTTGCACTTCTGAGATAGTCTAAGTCCAATTTTAAAGCTTTAGGCCAGTGTAAGATGTCAAACAGATGCAAGCAGATGAGAGTGGATGAAAATAGATGAGAATAAAAGGAGGATATTAGAAGTTGAGTATGATATTCAGACTGCCAGACTTGGTTGTTCTGCAGTCTCTTAAATACTACAATAAATAATGGACTATCTATGACAATGAGCCATCAGCTGTCTAACTCATGGAGATGTGTATGCTAAAGACAATAAATAACAAGGCACATGTACACTAGAAAAATCAAAGATAAATAACAAATAAAGAAACAATATAATCAAAGAGCTGAAACAGCTATGAATGGAAGTCTTTCAGATGTGGAACAGATGTCTTTAGCTGTCACAACTTGTCCCTAGCTTCTAGCATAATTACCCAGCTTCTGAGGCTTGTGGTATTGAGCTGTGCTCTTCTGAGATGCTTCTGAGACATCCAGGAATGCATTAGAAAAAACTGAGATTGCTAATTAGCTCTGATAAAGTAGAATGTCATGACCTGTTCCTGGCTCCTGGCACAATTATCCGGCTCCTGAGGCTGTATCCAGCTTCTGAGGCTTGTGGTAATGAGCTGTGCTCTTCTGGGACACTTCCAAGACATCTGGGAACAAACTGTGTGCTTCTGAGGCACTTCTGAGGTATGCCATGTTTCTGGCTCACTCCATTGTGTCTTCCAGCCATTGTCCCATTGTTCTCCATTGTTCTTCTTGTCCTGGCTAAGTTATCTATTACATAATCATGGCCCATTATCCTACATAGCATAAATACCCATGTACAGTAGTAGATTCCTTAGTTGGAATATTGAACTTGATATACCCTCTTTGCTCTAGTTCACTGCTGGAATCTGGCTCCTCCCTGTTCATCTGAAATCAGGGACACCCAGACATTACATGGTGGCACAGCTGCCCCTTTCTGTCAAGCTGAAGCCAAGTCCCCACCCTATCTGGCACAGTTGTTACATAGAATTAGTTTAGAATTAGGTAAAATAAGCAAGAATAAGGATGCAATATGGCTGATCAGTAGAATCAGGTCCCTAAGGCAGGTTACCCTTTTATTCTCTACTTATTCTCCACTTATCCACACTAATAAGTACACTATAAGCACAGATAAGATTCATGCATTCATGGCTGTACTTCATATTTTGCTCTGATATCACCAAGTCTGTTGTGCACATATCAAATGTATTCAGTAGAATAGCATGTATGTACATCATGAAAGGTAATACAATACTAACTACTACTACTACTACTACTACTACTACTCTAACAATGATGACAACAATGTGATGCTCTGGCATCATCTTTGCTCTCAATCTCAAAAGCAAAGGGAACTGCATTCAGGACATTGTCAGGTACATACAGAAAGCAAATAACATATAAACAACTTACTCACACACTAGTATCAGGGCTCTTGAATATGCTGCAAATGATAAGCAGGCAACTATGAGGGAGGGAGGTGACACTATGTATGCCATTCTTGTTGCAAAATCTAGGTAGCAGAAGTCAGCGAGCAAGGCAAATACAGATTATCCACACTAGAGGTGTACTATGGAGGTCTCACTATATAATGTGTCAGTGAAATTTGATAATGAATTCTGAAGTGATTCAACCTTCATGTTCACAGGGTGCTGGAAATGAGATAAGTGGGTGAAGTGCAAGAGGTGGGCAATGAGGGGTCTTGTGCAGAGAAACATAACATATGAGACTGAACTGGCACCACTGTGGGTGCAGGCCCCTTCATGTGAGGGTCCAGGCATACTCCGTGGAAGTAGACAGCATAGTTGATCTGTGTTAGAAGTGAGTGGATGAGGAGGAATAGAGTTGGGCATACCATCATGTCACAGACATGAGAGCCCACATCCTCTACATCTTGTTCTCATTGTGGGGTGTTGACAATGTCTGTGTGGCCAGCCATGTAAGCTAGAATTTTTTAGAATTCTTGGTAGTTTCCTAACTTCACACTTCTATAAGCCATGAGAATACATGACATACTGTATTTAAACAAGGTATCCTTATATATCAGGACTGTGGTTGAACAGTCCACCTATGGAGAGGCTGGTGGGTGGCCTTGCCGGGTGTGCCAGGGCTTGCGGCTGTGGATGGAGCATGTCAATATATGCAAACAATGCAGAAAACAGTGCCCAAATGCTGTTTCTTGTCATTTGGAGTGCTCCCGCCTCTGTTTTTGATGGGGAAAAGGTGCCAATGATGAGGAAACATATTTTCCTCGTTGTTGTGCACCATTTCCCCCACTGTTGGAGGGGCAGGATAGGCTGGATTGGGAGGTGGTGGTTTGGATAACACAGCATTTTTTTGCATGTTGGTTATTTTTAGCTACTAGCAGGTCCAGCGAGCTCAGGTATAGTCATAACACACTAAAAAATTGCAAAAAAAAAAAGATATTAAATCATAATAAAATAAATACATTATGTGGGTGGCTCTACCAGCCACCTGCTGTGAGATAGAGAGAAAGAGAGAAGAAATGGCACCATGAATACACCGTTTCTGCTCAGACGGACCTGCCGCACCGTGCTCACCTTCACGCTGTGCTGGTCCTGTTGGCCTGCACCAGCCGCATGTCTCATCTGTTCATATCCACCCTGTCGCTGTCTGGTTTGTGCCACCATTGTGTGTGCCTGACTGCTGTCTTGTTCGCATCACCGCCATTGTGGGCCTTGAGCTCCCCCCTCCCTGCTCCTCAACTGCCTACCTCTTGTTGTCCTGGCTTCCCTCATTTGTGCTTGTGTGTCGCTGTTGTGCTAGCTGACTCCTGGTCGGTCATCACACTGCTCATCTTTCTTGGTTGCTTGCTGTTGTCCTTGATTGTAGATGCGTGTGCTGGCTGGCCCTTTGGCATCTTTGCTGGGTCATTCTTGTTGCTCGCTTGTGCTTGCTAGGTCATTGGTCATGCTTATCCTGGCTTTGCAGCCATGTATGCTAGAAATCTATATCAAACACTGTTAGTTAACAAGGTATCCTCTTATATCAGGACTGTGGTTGAATAGTCAGCCTACCCAAAGGCCCTGGAAGCCCCAGAAGCCCTGGAAAAGGTAGGGAGCACCTGTTGGGGCCTGGGAGGGGTAAACAAACAGCCAAACAATTATTCCAGGGGTGGGTGGGTGTTAGGTGGGCCTCAGGATAGGGGCAGGATAGGCCAAGCAGGACCCCAGGGCACTGCAGAGCATTGATCATGTGACCTGTTTGCTCTACAGCTTCAACTGGGGCCATTTTTTGTGAAAAAAGTGGTCAGGGCCAATGTGATAGTATGTTATTGAAGGTTGTATGGAGAAATGAGAGAATCTGGTATCAGGAAGGGGGTGAAAATGTGTTTATCCAGTGCCAAAAGTAAACTGAGCTCCAGTTATTTGAGTTCCCGGATGCCCAAATCTGGAAATTTCATCAATTTGGGCATTGGTGGCGCATTTCGAGCTTGTTTGGCTTGCTCCCAGATTGAAATTGATCAGAACAATTGAGCGATAATTTAGAGGACATTAGTAGCTCCCTGTAAACACTAGCAGCATGGGAGCACAGTCATTTTTGGTGATGCAACAGCCTAATTAGGCTTGCACTGCTCAAAAATGCGAAAATGCGGCCTCCATTCACACCCCTCCATGCCTCCCTGCCTCCCAACAACTATCCATTAAT